ATATAATCACCCCTATTTATAATCACATAATTTTTGAAAACCAAAAGTGGTGATTATAGACAGGTCTGACTGTATTTGTTTAAAAATTCATTATATCAAGAATTCGCTATATCAAGAGTTGACTGTATATATTATCTTCAATATTTTAATTTATTATATAATTTTTATTTTTCTAACATTTTGGTCTTTTGTTATGCAAATAGATATGTTTTGATTACTATATTTTGCATTTTAGTATTATCCATTTAGCTCACAAGATTATCATTTCCATTTTTTACTTAAAATTTTCATGAAACAGAGGATGAAGGTAACTTACTAGATTCATTTGATTTTATATCTATATACTTACAATAACTCAAATTATATGTTATTACTGGCAGTTCAAATAGTTAAACGTAGGAAATGGAAAGTGAATGATACTATTACTCCAGATCAATATAATAAATACTTTGTTGTAGAACCAAAATTAGATGAATTTATTGATAAGATTAAAAATAGTCAATATTTACTACTATATGGGCTACGTGCATCAGGGAAATCAACACATATCATGTATGCAATGCAAAAATTGTAAGAAAAGGGATATCATTGTATCTAGTAAGTTTTACTTTATATATTAATATATATATATATATATAATTCTCTTATGACATTTATTCTTATTGTTGTTTTGTTTTTTTTTTGTTATGCAATAATCATTCCTTATGGTATAGCTTGGATTTTACAAAAACAAATCTTAATAATGATCTAAAAGCAATGTGGATATCACTTTATCAGTTACTGAAACCTCAATATCATGCAGGAATTGTTAATAATGAATTTAATCAGATGTTGGATTTTGTTGAGACATTTTATAAAGAGAAATAAAATCGCAAAGTTATTTTATTTTTAGATGAATTTGATAGAATTTATGCATCTGATGAAATTCGTAATGATTGTTTAGGTGCCATTCGTTTCTTAAAAAATGATAAAAGGTATCATATTATACATTCTGTAGTAACTGCTGATCCCTTTAGCATTCGATACTTAAATCCAAAAGGAAATTACACATCATCCTTCAATGTTGCAAGAAGCTTCCCAAATCCAAACTTTACAAAAGAAGAGGTAGCAAATCTATATCAGGATTATTCATCTTCAATAAATATAAATATTGATGCATCAATCATTAGTGATATCTACAATAAAACAAATGGGTATGTACAATAATTCAATCTTTAATTTCATGAATGTTAAAATTCTCATGAATCTAATTTTTTTCCTGTTATGTTTTATATTTTTGGTAGCCATGTTAGACTTGTTTGTTTGTGTGGTTGTGCAATTGATGAAGATTTAGTTTGCAATATTGATCAAAATAATATTTTGGATCTGGATTCTTGGATTATTTAATGTTCAAATGAATTACAGAATAGAATTATTCAATATTCAACATTCACAAAGATGGTTTCAATATTAAAAAAGTCAAAAGCTCCTATGGACTTGCTTCGATCTCAATTTATGTTTGATTTAGAGTTTCATAATGTCACCCCAAGTGACATTGACTTTGCTAACTTTCTTGCTGCTGAAGGGGCCCTACATCCACATGAAAAATATTCAGCTAAATTTAAGATTTCTTCATCTTTAATACATGCATTAATATTACAATGTGTTATTCCTTCTGTATATCCAGATCATCCTAAAGTTGATTTACCTTATCAAAATGGGATTTTTGTTACTATTAATGCTCTGAAAGAAGTTGTTAAGGTATTTGATCAAGATGTGATTTCTTTAGGATTTCAACGATCATTTAAAACAGCCAAGAATTATGTTAATGACAAAAAAAATCAGCATATACCTCGTAAAAGTGTATATGATCAAAAATTTTTTCAAATTTTTTCTAACTGGCTCATTCCAAATGGTTTTTCAATAAGTGGACAATGGCATTTAATAGAGGGTGAAACTCATCAGTACCCAGACTTTGTAATTACAGAAAACAACAACAATTCTATCATTGTTATAGAACTAGTGGCAACAGCTTTAGATAATGATCTTAAAAATCATTTTAGAACAATAATTGAATATGCAGAAAAGCTTAAAGCAAATGAAACATGGGTAATTCATTTTACATGTGCAGACAATGTTATTGAAAAACCTACTTGGCCAATTGAACAGAAACAAAAAGATAAGCTTCATGTAGTACATTTTTGGCATGATATATCTTTCAAGAGTATTCAAATGACTGCCCGTTTCCCAAATGGAGTAATTATTAATTAAATTATCAATATTCTTTAATACTTTTTCTAAAAGTTTAATAATCAACTATGAAAATTTAATATAATATGTAAAGACTTCTAATTGTAAAATTATGTTTAATCATCTCATTGAATAAAATTTAGTATTATAATTTTAGTAGGGGAAGAAAGATATAATGTGAATTTTTCTATTGATAATTTTTATAAACAAATTTATTAAAAAAACTTCTCTTTCAAAATTTCTTACTTTTCAATAACTGGCTGGTTATAAATGATTTGAGTGGTGAGATTATAAAATGTATAAAGAGGATATTAATAAAATGCATCGCTTATTCTTATACTATGATAGAATCCAAGATGAAAGGAATTTCATTTACCTTTTGATGGTTACATCATTTATGTAAATAAATATAAAAGTTTGTAATCTTGTGAATGAATGTCATTAAAATTAGCAAGATTGTTGTTGTATGTTGTTACAGGGTAATAATTCTATGATCTACAAGATGATCTGCAAAACTGATCTACAAAAGGATTTGCAGAATTGATC